CAACAACCTCCTCTCACGGACGCCGTCAGCCGCGAGCCGCCGAGAGCATGGGAATCCCTCAGCGGACGTACCGAGGATGAGATACAAGTCTTTATCCAGAGCATGGGTCCGCGAATTGTCGGTGCCAAGCCACCACCAAAACCCGTTGAGGATGTATCCATGAAGTTGGTCAACGACAAGGACCATGAGTTCAGAGAGCCTCGAGCGACCGACGCTCGTGGTCAGTCATTTAATCCGGTTGCCTCTGGCTGTGAGCAGTCACTGACAAGTGTCTAAATCGACAGGCCCATGCCCTGGCATGAACTCGCTTGCCAATCACGGAGTGAGTGTGCTATCATTTGCCCCCAAATGCTCACCATTGGCTATCAATAGTACATTTCGCGAACTGGTGTTGCAGAGCCCGCTGAGATGGTGACGGCTGTTCAGGAAGGTGAGTAACAAGCTGCGGTTTAGAGCTTGCGCTCACGAGGTGAACAGCTTACAACATGGGTTGGAACATCGGCACTTTCATCACATACGCGTCTTTACTGGTAGAAGGAAACCCTCTCACAAATCTGCTCAGCATCGGCCGCCATAGCGACCTTACTGGTCCGAACCCTGAAGGTTTCCCAAAGGCACTGGTCGGCGGTATTGCCACACACGGACCATTCGAAGGCACGTCAATAAACATTAGCCGCGATATATCAAAGCTGAATGACCTGTAGGAGACACCAGTCAGTCTCGTGCGGACTTCTACTGGGGTGACAACGTCGCATTCAACGAGAGTATATTCGACCAGGTCTGGCTCTTTCGGCGCGGAAAGTCTAACGTTGCTGATCTAACCCACAGTTTCTGGAGACTTGCGACAGATATGACGGCCTCTACAATATCACCTCGGCCAGTGAGATGCGGTCGCAGCGCTACTGGCATAGCCGCAACACCAACCCGACATTCACCTTCGACGTGCCACGGTATGTGACTGCCTATGCCGAGACGACATTCCCACTCGCCTACTTTAACGACGGTCGCCGCGAGCGTCAGGGACTTGCTGCCGACTGTCGTCAGATGCGTAGCTTCTACGAGTATGGTCGTATGCCTGAAGGGTTCCACCGCCGTGAAGGCAGTGCCGGCATGACCGAGGTGGCTAACTTAATTACCGAGTTCAAGAAGCTCAACAGGCTCAAGGCTGGCCGCAACATCGGTCTGGGCAACTTCGTCGAGGCTTATCCAGAGGTCCAGGGGCTTGTCGATGCAGACGGCGTATGCACTTTTAGACTGTACCGGAAGGTGTGCTAATGAATCCGCAGAACTGTGCGATGTATCGATACTTCATCAGTACAACACTCGACCTTTATCCCAACCCAACGGGAATTCTTCTTGAGTCACTGCGCCAGAATGCGCACAACATGTATGTCCCACTTACTGGGGACCCTCTTTGCCCTGAGCTATTCCCGTACGGATACGTTGACTATGGCTACTAAATCTGGCGTCGAATTCGTAACATGGCTACAATCCGAAGCATAAGGTACATGCTGGTTCCATCATAGAGGTCAGATATTGCTCGGAAGACATCTCTGTAGCTAGAATTATGAACTAGAAGACGTTTTAAGTAGCATGTGCTTCGAAGATTCGCAGAGTGCCTCCAATCCAAAGCCAATGTGACAGCTAAAAGCTCGCCGTGAACGGCAGCTGCAGGATGTAATGAAACGGCACGAGGGTTGGGTTCACACCATTAACACCAGAAACTAATGCAGAGAGAATGTAGTCGCCGGGGCCATTGTAGAAGTACGACTGCGGCAGAGGAACATCGAAGGTCGTCTGCGAGAACTACGACGGCGTCGAAGTCAGCTACTACCCCAAAGCTTCGGCACAGACATACAATGTTGGTTGCGTTCAGGGCAAACATATCGAGAGTCTTTTGAAGAGGAACTCCCAGGGCGTTATTGTTGGACGTAGCAAGGTCAGCCGGAGTGAGCAGTCCAAAGCTGACGGAGAGGTCGAAGCTAGGGGCAACACATGTGAGACAGAGACAGAGACGACAGCAGGGCCTGCTCACTATACGACCTTGGTACCCCCTGCGGTGAACGTCACAGGGAAGGTCGAGTTTGCTGTCGGCTGGTAGGTTCCTGTGAACGGCGCCACACCAGCGATCATCGCCGACGCCAGAGGAAGAGCGACCAACCCAGCAGCGAGAGAGCGAAGAGAAACCATGATGATAGTTCACAGGGATGTTTGATGAGTCAGCTGTCTCAGCTCCACCCTTTTATACGCCGAGTGGTGACGGCTAACACGGTGCCGGGACGCAAAAGATTTGAAACCAGATACATCACCGCAGCATGTTGTGTGACAGCTCCACCAATCCAAGGCGTCGTAAACCGCATGGCATAGCCGTGGATATGAGGCCCGGATACGGCATGAGAGTCTATGTCATGAATGTCAATTATTTCAATTTGTCCACGAGCGCACACTCAACTCGACAATGTTGAACAAGCCACCGCTCAGGCTGGTCTAAGATGTGGTAACTGTATGTAATTGCTGTGAAAACAAGATTCGGGTATGATACGGGTGTCTAGGTGATATCTTCAAGCTTCTGGGTGCGTAGACGCGTACTGAGTGGGACTCAAGACAATCCAAGCAGGGCGAGGTCAAGGCGAACTGTTTCATTTGATCGCCACAGCATTGGAAGGGCTGTACGAGTCATAAAATAGAACGAGTGTGTAAAGGGGAATACAAAGAAAAGAGTGGAATTTATCTGGTTTTGGGAAGTAGCACGAGAAAATGATGCTGCAAGCGTGGCGCATATCAACTCCATGAGACGGAAGGCGAAGCTTATCCATGGCTCACGGGGGAGAGCTTCCTGGTATAATAGCGCGATAGCTTGGAAGCACGGTGCCCCGCTTGGGATCGTATCCAGGGCGCTTTGTAGGGTCGTCGAAAGGCAGGTTCGTAGTTGGCTCCGTCATGAGAAATGCCGGCGCTCCGGGTTCAAGGTCAACCGCGTGCGCACGGGTGGATGTTGAATGGCCTGGATTGCTGTCATTGCGCGAGCGCGATTGGCTTCGTGAATTATGTGGAGGGCGGTGCTTTTCATCAATGAGGGGTGTTCGCGAAGTTGCAGAATACGGCGGGCTGAACGGGGAAGTCATCGCGCTGTGAGGTGAGACGGCCGCACTTTGCGGGCTGTAGGGAGAAGCAGCAATGCTATACGATGGAGACAACGCATCGCCGCTGCTGTTGCCCTCAGCCGGCGAAGGTGGGTACATCCAACGAGCCTTTTCTGGTGGGTACTCGCTTGCGCTGGACAGCGGTGTTGCAGATTGCAGCGTGTAAGGAATGACATGATCGTGGGAGGGTTCGACTTCATCTCGGCGAGATGCTCCGTCTCTACGCCGTCGGTCTACTCGTGCTTGAGTTGTCGGCGCGTCCAGATTGGAGGAACCGGTACGCGCATAGGAATGCCCACTAGGCCCGGTTGAGTCTGCACGGCTGTGCCCAAGTGGGTTGCTTCTCTGATGACGATCGAAGAGTTGAATCGCCGGAGCGTAGGATGTCGAGATCGGCAGCCCGGCAGATCCAAATGAAGAAAGCGCATCAATACGCTAGCTTCTGATAAGGACCAAATACGCACCGTCACCCCTGTGGTCCATTCCAAAATATTGACGCTACCCGCATCATCGTGCAGGCCGCCGATGTCTGCGACACGGCCGTGTCCATGTGCGGACCCCGGCCACGCATGCCCATGACCGGCACTATGATGACCGTCCTCGGAATATTCTTCCTGAGTCGCTCGTCGGAGCACACTTCTTCGAGCATGCTTGGCTTGATGCTGTACTTTCTTTGGCTTGGGTTCGAACTGGTGCTGGAGGATGCGCACGGCGCCAGAGGCTGATGTTGGTTCCAAAGATTCTGACACTCTGAAAGCGCCCCCTTCATCGTCTTCCCGACCACCTGGACCCTGGACATATTCACGCCGGCTTCGCGATTGCCATGAGTTCTTTCCGAGATCATCCGCAGTTCCGTCAGGTAGCGGCAACGACGTCGTCGACGCGAGTGGGAAACTACGTCCACGGACCGCCTGGGTTTGCGACGACAGGGATGTTACGGCGCGAGGTCTTCTGTGGTCCCAGTGCATATAGACATAGACACATGCGCCAAGAACAAGAAAGGTGGCCAAGCCGCACCCGAGTGCGATGCCCACAATCGCGCCGGTGCCCAGTGGCGCAGAGCCACCCTCCCGAGCGGCTAAGAGAATGAACCGTGCATCCCTGCGTTCAACAAACTCGATGCGCATTCGGTAGAACTGTCGTCGTAGTGGAGGTCGTGTGCGCGACGCAGAAAGGTGCGCAGCGCGAAGGGAGGAAGAGGATAACAACAGACGAGGACAGCCCAGCTGACGCGATCAAAGTGAACACCGAGAAATTGCGAGCACGCGGGGCACAGGAAAACATCATGAGCAGCGGTACAAGCAGATCCGGGCAGGGACCTTGACCGCAGCTGGGGTAACGGAAGGGTAGAGCACCTGGCGGAGTTGACACGATCGAAAGGGGGTCAAGAAAGGAAGGAGCGGTGGCCGCCAAAGGGACTCGAATGGGCCTGTTCCGAAACATAGTCTTTGAACACATATCATAGCGGTAAATACTGCATTCTTCGAAACATATGACCCGTGGTAGTGAGGAAGGATCAATTACATTGTTTTGAAAGAATCGAAGGATGAGGTCTGCAAATGATGAGTTTAACCAAAGGTAATCAGTGATCTCTCCCTTGGTTCACCATTGACCCACTCTGAACCGCTACCACACTTCCATCTCCTAACAAGACATATGGTTTCACGGAAGCCTACACATCGGCTGCAAATGCCTGAAGTAGACTGCCAATAAAATGTGCACTCGCTTCGCTCGCACGTAGCATATGGCCGGTGCATATTATAGTTTTGGGTGCAAAGAATGTCGCATTGGTCCGAAGCATGGGCGAAAGGTGCCGCTACTTTGCTGAATAATGGCCTGAGTGGAATACATTTCAACGGTTGGGTGGCACAATTGGTTAGCGCGTGGAGCTAATATTCAATGATTTGAATTCGTAACTCCAAGGTTGTGGGTTCGAGACCCATCCTGACCATCCTTTTGCATGTCTATTTTGTCGAGTTTGGACGGTGTCGCGACAAGGGGGGGAGTCGAAATTCCCCGTATCCGGCAAGTTCTTCGCTCGTCGCGGAGCATAGAGACGGTATAGCGGTTCAGCCACAATATCGTTCATCGATCGACACTCTGGATATGGTGTTGCTACCATTGGGTCTCTGTGTCTTCCGAGGGGCACGATCAAGGGCCGTTGCCGGCTTTCGGCATCGTTCCGACCCGACAGGTTTCAGCATCTCGATCTCTTTCCGTCGTGGCCACCGTTCAGCGCGTCGTCGCGCGTCGTTCGTCTCGCCGTATTTGCCGCGCCGGCCACGAGCGTATTGAAGCTCGCCGCCGCTGACGGCTTCTTTTACTGCGTCGTGCATTCTCAAAGACCGAACACCAACGCCCTGACCACTGTGGTCCGTTGACCATGTCAGTTGCCAGTTCCCCTGTCGTTGACTGCGTGCTTATGGCTGCTGCTTGCATGTTTTCTTCTTCATGATTATCGTCAACTCTGTGGTCGTTGGCCCACCTACTTTTGGTCGTCGTCCACCTGGAATTGACTTGTCCAACATAACACCCCAACCTATGACCACCTCTGGCTGTTGGAATTTGGCATCACTGCCCGTCATGGTCTTTGGTCATCACGCGCGCACCCGGCAACTTGACTTGAATCAACAACCTGCTGGGAACTTTGACACACTATTTGGGCCATTTATGCCTGCCGTATGCTCTGCAATGCTGCGCTGTTGCCGTGACTGGAATGTCTATACATGGTGCGCATTCTTATTGGGACATCGCTTCGCCATGGTGTACATCTCTTCGCTTCCCTCCTTGTTCTTGCGATTTCCACAGGCCGCACATGTTCAACGCGTTATCTTCCAAGAAACGCACGCTGGAGCAGTCGCAGCTTTCCACCACGGATGATGCTCAGCTACCCGAACATAAGCGTGCGCGCGTCGATAGTGCGCCGCTCCAGGCAAAATCTCCTCCAACACTTCCAAATTCAGCCGGCTCTTCGAGCATGCAACCTGCAGGAATTCAGACAAGTGTTTATTCTCGAACCCCAGACGCTATGGACCGCATTGCCGACCTAGCTCATGCACCTTCGACTGCGTCAATTTCGACAGGAGGGAACCAGCCTGGAGGCACGACCGCCACGACAACAACTTCGTCTAGCTATCCCGTGAACACATCTACCAAGTCTTTAGGCAAGCCGGCATTACAACCAGGCGGTGGCACGTCCCGTGACCCTATCCACGTCCACGACGAAGATAATGAACGGGCACGGATCACAAACCTCTCGACGGCGCAGATTTCGTCCAACATAGGCCCATCAACGGACATCATCGAAATATTTGACTCTAGCGATGAAGGGGTCGACAGTGACGATGACTGGGCACTTGCTGGTGGTTCTCGAACAAAGACATCTGCGCTCGCGGCCGATAGCATTGCAAGCGCTTCCTCCATTCTTGTTTCAGCACCGTCAGCGCTGCCAATGTCCGTAAATGTCTCCGATACCACAACTTCAGATCTTTCTCTGCGACACGAAATCATAGCCTCTGTGCCGACGGGTTCTCTCCCTACTCCTGCACCTGCGTTGATCACTACTCCCGCAGCAGCAATACGTTCTCTCGCATCCCCGCCCCCAACGCCGCCTCCCGCGGCGCTAGCAGCTAATGCTGGACTGACGTTTCTGGCCTCGCACTTGGAGGCTCCACGATCAATCAAGTTGTCCGGTTCGGACGCGAACTTGGTCTTTGGCCGTCATTTACCCCAATCGACCCGCTCCCCTTCCGCCATAGAGTTGCCGCCAGCACCTGCCGTAAAGCGAACAACTCCGCTTGCGGCGCAGAAATCTAGCGCAGCTGATGCATCTCAATCTGTGGTCACCAGCGCCAGCTTAGATTGTCAATGGGTCGCAGAGGCAGACGCAATTATCAGTCCCCTCTCAGATGGCGAAGCTTCGTGGTTCGATAATGTCGATGCATCGCCAACCCCAAGCGACATCAACTGGGCCCCGGAGCCTCAAGCACAGATTGTCTACAGCCCAATCTTTGTGGGTTGGCGAGAGAGGATGGGCATTCACCTCGACCCAGATGCCTTGGCTAACAGTCCTGCCGCCATCAACGTCGACCTGGACTCTGATGGTGATGTTGAAAAAATGGATATTGATGCGCCAGCGAACTTGCGCGAACTGGGGCGGTCAAATGCCGCTGCTCATGATTCCCGTAACCCGATCAAAGCTGGTATGAGGCGTTGAGTTTTATTGTAGTCTCGGTCATCTTATCTAGACCACAGCGCCACCATATGACGACCCGCGAAACGATCCGCGTGTCGATAACACTCGGTTGTTAGGCAAGAACTTCCAAGTGCGATGTGCGGCTTGCCACAAATGGATGAGGTACATCACATTGAATGAGCATCTCGACGGTCCTTGCACCGGTCCGACGTTGGTGAGTTGCTCGTCGAACCCGCTTATTCGCATTTTTCGCGTCTAAACCGCGCTGGTGTAGACTTCACTTTTGGCTACCACCGGTTCGTTTGGATTTTCCAAGCCAGTTTCATCGACATCCGCACATCCACAAGAACCGGTGTTGTCAAGTGCGCCTCAGCCTCCATCCACCACCACGGGACAGATCAGAAGAGTCGTTCTCACCCTTGGGGGCTCCAGTCTCGCAAAGAAAGCTCCATCTTTGTCCCCTCGAGCCGCTGCTCAGGCTTTCGCCACAGACCCACGCGTTTCGGCCGTCAGAAATGACCGTGTTCAATGCCGTGTTTGTCGAAAACTCATGTTCCCATCGAGACTAGACGAGCATGTCACTCGGCGATGTACAGGCTCGGTAAGTGTTCGATATCAATCACCAAAGGGCGGACTCCGCAACTTTGTTCATATTCTCCCTGACGCGTTTATTTCGGCGTAGGTGAACCAGTATCTGATCAGAACCCCGTCAGATGGCGATCTCGTGAGCGTATCCGCTTCTTCTTCTCCTTCTCCCGTCCCGCCGCCGCCGCCAACTCCCACTGCAACCTCAACACCAGCTCCGTCCTCAACAGCACCACCTTCGAAGCTTTCTTCAAAACCTGTCATGTCTTCCGTGCTGGTAGCTCCTTCCACCTCCCGCGATACTACTTCCGGGACATTCCCCCCAGACGTGGAAGCGTCTCTCAACGCGGATCCGTGGGTCAAAGAGACATTTCACGAGAGCGTCTTTTGTCGAGGTGTGTTGAAAAACGTTACCTCAAGTTGACACTCGGCCACTCAGAATGCTGGACTGCACATAGGTTGCAGTGCTTGGATTCAGCTTGGGGCGAGTTCTGGTGCACTGATCCGATGGTCCGGGCGCAAAGGTCACAAAGTTGTATGTCCACCAATCGTGGAGGCGACCAATAAGTATGTTACACCCACCTCGTCCTAATTTATAATCGTTAAGCCTAATGCAGGGAGCGAACTGATGCCAAGCTGCGCGAGCTCTACCACCTGGACGAAATTCCTGCTATAATTCCCGACGAAATCAAAACAGATCCTCGTGTTCGAAGCATTGAAGGCGATCAGGCACTCTGTGACTTGTGTGGGACATGGATGGGCTTCCCCAAATGGGCGAAACACCACAGCCCTGGGGACGATGTCGAACCAAAGTGCGTCCCAGCCTTAATCGATGACATCAGTCGTTGATTTGCTTGGCGTCTCTCTTCAGCAGCGCAAACCGAACTCTGCGAACGCCACCTCGGTCGCGGAACTGAGCGATCTCACCGAACCGTCTGACGTAGACGAGCGGATTGGGGCATCGGCCAAAGGCATGGGTGGTTTGACGCATGACTCCGCAGCGCATGCTGCTCGAACAGTATGCGCTGGTGATGAACAGCCAGTTTTGCAGGTACCTGGCATTGACCATTTAGTTCCAGGGCTTGGAGCGGTTGTCAAGGAAGAAAGCGGTGGTGCATCTTCAGCTTTATCATCACATCCCAAACCTACCATTTCAATCAAAGTCTCAGCAAAGCCGATTTCGTTGAAAGTGCCAGAGAAGGTGGCTCAAACACCAGCCGCCGCTCCTACGACCCAGCTCAGCTCATCACTTCCCAAACCATGGGAGCTGCCATTGTACTTCCTGGATGGCGACGCAGCGGCTGCAGCTGCTTCAGACGCCACACCTCTGAATCCCAATGCCGCCCCTGCGCCCACGGCATCCTCCGCTCCAACCTCCGCTCCATCATCACTCGTAAACAGCTCAAAACTGGATAATGAGCACGCAGAGGCTCCCAACAGCCGAGTTGAAAGCAGCTCTTCACCCGCACAAGACCTTCACCCGCAGCATATTACAATCGCCTTGTCACCCACATCCGCAGGCGACGCATCACAAACATCATTAGTATCACCATCCAAATCATCCCGAAATCCCGCTGGTACCGCTTTGCTTCGTGCCGAACGACGCCTCATCTTGAAGCACGATCCCGATTGCCGCGCATTTAACGATGTCGAGAATTCCATGCAATGCAAGCACTGCGATCTGTGGGTCACACTTGACCCAAACTTGAACCCCACCAATACATGGTATGGCAAGTCGGGACACGCTACGCTTTGTTTGAAACGGCAAGTATATCGGACAAGTCTTGCCGCTGTACGAACGTGAGCAGGCCTGCCAACGTTCTGTTCCCCGATTCTCCAACTTACAAATTTTCAACCTTCCACAGTGATGATAAAAGAGAGGCAAAGTTCAATCCTCCGAGTCGCATCCGTCGAATTCGCGGACACAAGCTGCAATGTCATGGAGATGGGAGATGCGGGAAATGGATCGGGATGGAACACTGGGACGACCACCTCCCGCGCTGTTCGGGTTATGTGAGAGCTCAACCCTGGCACAACTCGTTACTTTCACTCAACTGTGCCGCAGGGTCAGGGTAAACAGCGGCAAAACAACCGGAAATTATCAACGAGTACTACGGCCAGTTCACCGGCGCAGGCATCTGCCACAGTGCTACGCGCATCTATCTCTGCAA